TGTTCTTATCATAAACCTCTAGAATCCTTTCTCTGACTTGTTGGCACTGATCGCACTGGTCTCAAAATAACTCGCCAGGGCCTGAATTCAGGCTATTGCCTGAAAACTGGCATCCCTGAGGGGTGTACGTCGCGGGTGTGTTGTATGAGTAGAGGTGTCTATGAATAGATTGTACTTGTATAATATCAATAAGTAAAATATAACTAAAGTTATGTGGTAAAGAGGCTGATACCACAATCCATATTTGCTACATTAAAGAGCATATAGACCGATTATCCACAAAAAAGAATAGACAAGCGATTGTTGGGTTGAATCCATCATGATATTATACAATCTCTTTAATTTACTATAAAACTATTTCAGTTATACCGTTCAGCTATTTCACATATTTCAAGTCTAAAGCCAAAGGCATAGTTCCATACGTAGACGAGTACAATGTTATGTATTAATTAGTAGTCTTACAAAACATGCTTTATAAACTTTTGCGGTACCTTCCTTTTGTGTTTTTGTTGGTGTATTTTTTAGCAAACCCCCCCCCCCACCTTTTTTTTTTAATTAAAGAAAAAGAAAAAAAAAAATTATGCGAATGGTTGACCTAAAAAAGTGACCTTACCCCCCCCCCCCCCCCCCCCCCCTCTCCCCTACGGAGCAAAATGTCAAATTTTCAAATTTCGAGACAAAAAAACAAAGAAAAAATAATCCTCTTACCCCCCCCCCCCCCCGCTATTCAGCGGCTGGCTGAGTCGTTGCGAAATTTTCGGCTCGATTTCAAAATGTTAACCCCCCCCCCCCCCCCCCCCCCTCCTTGACAAAATTCTGCGTACGCCACTGACTAGAAGTGTCTATGAATTGACTTAACTTGTGTAATATCAGTAGGTAAAACATAACTCCAGCTGTGTGGTAAAAGGTCTTATATCAAAATCCATATTTACCCCACCAAAGATCATATAGACTGATTATCAATTTAAAATTAAACCAAAACGAGGTCCTATAAGTACGTTACAAGCATTGTGATATCGTTTGCAAGTGAGCTACTATGTCCGTGCGTTCAAGAGCGAAGCGCGCCATCTGCAACTCACTCTTACTATGCTTACATTAGTCAAGCAGTCTATGCGAAAACATAGCAGAGCGTCATCTCTTGGCGAGACTGTTTGAATCATTTCATCATGGTTGGTATGGGCCGAAAGGGGAATCCCCATGTTCGGGACCTATCCCTATGCACTGTGTCCTTACCTCAGTTCGGCCCTTTTATGCTGTTTTTTCTTGCATAGATCGACTGCAATAATGACCATCTCGTCATCAGCATGTGGAAAAAGATGTTTTGGTTACAATATGAGGAGTTTGCTAACATGCCATAGGCATCACAGAAAAAGCGAAACGGGTTTAATGATGCTTAACATCATCGGAGAGGAAACTCATTGCATTATTACCATCTAACTTTCATTTGTACCGGATAAAATTGAAAACCTAAACCCAAAAAATAAAAATGGATTTTTGCAAAGGACTAGATACGTTTTTTTTTAAGGATTAATCAAAATGTCCAAGTGGAGAAATCGAAAAATTAATATGAACTTTAATTTCAATTTGCAAAGCATGTATATCATTCTGCTTCTGATTAACTCCTTTGACAGGCAAATTTGAGGTACCGTTATCCAAGCTTACTATTACCCATGTCCTCTATGATTCTCATACATGGATAATGAACGATGATGCACAAGCATCCTCTGCCTCATATGCGTGGTATTAACAGTAACCATGGTGATTATACACGAACATGATCGTCACCTCCATCATTATTATCATCATCACAATCACCCTCAATTGTATAACAATCACCATGGTTATAGCGATGCAGCCAGTTGTGAATCCCTTGTGACGGTCAAACACTTAGCAGTAGGAGGGCAGGTCTACCTCCCTCTGGTGGTCAAAATGAGGATGTTGACTAATCGTGATACTCTTCGATGTATCATTGATGCATGATCTTATATAACCCTATTACAGTGATAACGCTAGTGTATTTAATGGCCCGGTCCCACTGGCCGATGGACACAAAACATATGCATAACGGACACAGGGGACGAGCAAAATTTCGGGTGTGGCTCTATCCGTTTTCATCCGCTCCAGAAATTGACAAAATTTGCGAAAATTTGCGAAAACAGAACGGAAAATAACGGACGTGGGTAGTATGTAGCGGGGATGTTAAACGGATGTTCATCGGAAGCCTAGCGGATGAAAGCGGATGGAAGTGGATGACAGCTTGGAATACTTTATATACGAGATGCATACGCTTACATCCTTTCTATTTCCGTGCTACTAACGATGTATAGACGTTCCATGTACCTTATCTTTCCTCCCTCTTTCCGTATTCAGCTGCAGCGGATGTGAGTTGCGAGGATGCCCAATGGATGCAGAGAGGATACAGCGGACGTTTAACGGATGATAATGGACATAAAACGTTTGTTGCTCGTATTTGTCGCGGATTTACATCGTACACGGCGGAAGTTCATCCGTTCTAAAAGTTTTGTGCAGCTCAAAACTTTTTGCGCAGATGAAATCACAGTGGACGGATGCTCGATGGATAGAGCGTATGTAACACGTATGCAATGAGTACACAACGGATGCATAGCGTTTTCCAACGGATGGCAAGATTTTGTTACGTTTTGCATCCTCTTTGCATCCGTAAGTGCAGTGGGACCGTGAATTTTGTCTTGTTTCTTACTGGTGTCTCTCCTTACTCCGTCTCTTATTCTCTATCTACATTATCCTATTTCTCTCGCTTAAATCACTTAATCATATTCCAACTACGCAGTATGCCTGTTTAGTTTATATTTGTAACAACTATTTTTTCGAATAAATTAATTGTAAACGTCACACTAAAAGAATGACACATATTGATTAAGTATTCATGATTAAGTTTCTGTTTTAATTAATTGGGCGGGTATAGTAAGGACACATGTTGACGTGCTTTTCTTTGCAAATGTCACTGGTAATAAAACAATAATATATACCAGAATAAAAATGAACAAAATATACATGACTTACAATCCACTCTTCATAGTAAGAAGTGTTTCATCAACGCTTAGGAACTACTCTATGCACTTTTGGACTATATAAAGATATATTTGAATAAAATAAAACAGTTCCTTTAAATGAAAAAGCGCTACTATTCAAAAATTGCTTAAAAGCCTACTTCAATAACTAGTATCCTCTTTGTCAGCTAAAATGTTTAGTAAAGTTTCACAAACTGTATTTACAAGCCCTGTGTTTCTTTTTGTTTACATTCTAAAGCCCGTCTAACCTGGTATTAGAGTTGCACTACTTATATGACTAGGAATTTAACCTAAAACAAAGTTAAGATACATGAATATAGGCTTACTGTAAAGAATGTAACAAATTACCTCCATTGAAATATAATTATATTTAACTTAAAATATGGTTTGTTTCAATAAATTCATGTGTTTTAGCATACATGTAATTTTGGATCGTGCGTAATTTACAATCATATAAGAAAATTACGAGCAACATAATTATTAAAGTTATACATTAACAAGAATTATGTACACAAATATATATATCATTTAATATAACTTTATATAGCAAACCGTACGAAGAAATGAAGAGAGACAAAAACAAAAACAAAATCACCCAAACACTTTCACAATGATTGTGAATTGCGAAATCAGACAAGGAAAGCTTCAGATTATTTAAATGGTATTTAGACAGGTGGCCTCCTTACCATGCGGGAGACTGCCCCAAAAGGTCCTGGTTTTAAACCTACAAATTACTAACACATTGATTCAAGTGGAATAAAGATGCAGACCTTTAACTTAGGCCACGTAAAGTACAACATATAGCCCCTTTAATGAGGCGTTGCGTATCGACGCCAAATATAAGTATAGGAAAGTAATCATTTATTTGAAATAGTAGAGAGCGATTACAAATTTTCCTCTATCCTATTGCATGGTTACATAATTATTACAAAAGTATTGAAAGTCATAATAAAAATGATTGTTTGTCCACTAAATATTAATGAAGAATGGAAGAGTACAACCCAAAGAAGAGATACAGAATCATAAGTCTACAGAAATGATGAGACTCATGAAGGGCATGTGATGTTTTCAGTTCAACGGATAAGAAATAGATGTATAGCAGTTTGGAAATATGTTTGAAAGCGGTATGAACAGAAATATAACATAACAAATTTATACTCTGCTATTCTATATCAATGCAAGAGATTATAAGATTTTCTGAATCGCATGTACATTTTTCTTTTTATGTAGGCCTACATACAGTAATGTATCATGATTTTACATGCATTTAAAGCCTCGGTCACAAATGCCATTGCAAACTGCTACGAACGCCGTACGAACGATTTTCAGATCATGGAAATTCGGGAAGACCATGGAAAAACAGGGAGATTCATACGAACGCATCGTTCGTATATACGAACCTTTGTGACCGTACAATACGTAGAAACGAAAAAAAATAAAATTGTATCACTGTTTCAAAGTGGCTTAACCTACTGATACTTCGTATCGATCGTTTTCTGAGTATAAATATTAATTTCCTAATTCATGCTTAATTTAAATCCCATACATGGAAAATGTACTCACATTAAAGCTTTCAAAAATAAAATTTCATTAAAACTAAGATTTACCGTATATACCGATTATAAACATATAGATTCTTTCACCGTGTCTACTTTAAACGTGTTGTACCCAATTCATAACTTTAATTCTTATTTCCATTATCATATTAAGAAATAAAATATTATGTAATTATTGAAAGTAGGTTGTTTTATTACGGGTAAGTGTTAACAGCTTTTCAAAGGTCTACGGGATTTCGAAGTTATATAAAGTAAAAAAAATATTTGTCAGTATTCAATACAGATGCTTTAATTTAACTTCAAGTAAGTTAAATGAACAATCGAATAATTCTCTATTCTGTTGAGGGTAATTAATCATGCGGTATGATGAATGATATCTATTTCTTCAGATGACTTATACAATAAATATCTTCTTGTACACACAAAAGTTGTCTCCGTTACAAGCTACAAGGTTACCAGAAGGAGTTACGAGGCATGGGCTAATTTTGACGCATCTGTCTGATTTCTCGTATTCCACGATCCTCCTTGCCTGGATGATACCATCACATGACACCTGATCAACTGCGTAGACAGTACGCTTTCTATCCTGGTATGTGATGTAGAGTGTGTCTGCCAGTTTGTCAACGCGACACCGTGGATGATACCACTCATCAGAGTGTCTGGCAGCCTTCTCTTCTCCTGATCGTGAGATGACAGTGAATTCATTATTATTTGTCTTCACAACGATATCACCTGATGACAAGGCTTGTATCTCATCCAACACCTCCTTGCCCTGCATCATAATAGTGTTGACTCTCTTACCATCAGCAGGGTTGATGACGTAGATATTAGACTGATCGTCCTCTGCAGCGAGGATCATCCCATCCCTGTCAATATCAACATACACACTAATAGGATAGCTGCCATTCCACGGTATGCTGATTTCTCTAATCACCTTCCATTGTTTGTCATAGAGAGTGATGCATCCATCCAACATGTCACCCGTGCAGGCTCGTCCCCTCTTACCACATACTATTACGTTGCTGTCGATGGGGGCGCATGATGTAATATACACGTTACTTCCTCCTCCAATGACTTTCTCTGTGTGTTCAGTGCTGATATTTGTAACATACATTTTCTCGTTCCTTACGTCCCGGACACATATCTCATCATCACTGATCAAACCACGCATCCGAGGGTCATTAACAATCGATGGAATGTGGATTGACTTGACAAGCTCCCATTTACCGATATAGCTATCAATTCTAACGTAGTGCTCCCCACCTACTTCACCCTCGACGAACTTCACTTTCTGAACTTCACGCTGTATTTGGTCAAGACAGTTGCTAACATCTTGATGAACGTTCAAACTTAATATGTCATCTAGGGATGCAAGTACTGGAGGAGCTTCATTCACCAATGTTTTGTCATCTTGTTTGATTCGTTCGATCTTGGCGTCAATATTATCCAATGTGCTGATTGCGTGCTGATTCTTAATTTTATGAACGTTTATCTGTTTTGAAACCACTTCGTTAATTGCCTTTGTCTCTGAGATAAATTTTGCTTGGTTTTCATTGATGATTAGTTGCTGCTTTTCTATCTCAGCATTGCATGCTTTGATCCGTCTGTCCCTCTTTTCGTTGATAATACGATTTTCCTCATCCGCCTCCTCGTTGATCAGTCGAATCTTCTTCTCCTCGTTGTCCTTCACACTCTTTGATTTGTCTTCGTATGTGCACTGAACCTCATCGTTGACTTTCTGAAGATGGTTTATTGCAGAGGTCGCACTTGACTCTATTTTAGAGTCAAGCATTTTAAGGAGTTTTTTCGTTTCCTCTATTTCTTGTTGTTTAATATCCAGTCCTCTCATCCTATCCAAGATGACGTCTTCAATGTCGTCTAGCTCACATGGTTTCTGGCCGTGATCTTTGGTCGCACATCGGTGACAAATAGGAGTATCGTGCTTTCTACAGTAAAATGCGATTGGCTCAGCGTGCTTGTCACATGACCACTTCATGTCATGACCTTTTCTTGCTCTCATTTGAGCTCGGTTTTCTAGAGGAAAACTTGACGCCATGGCGTGTCGTTTTGTAGATGAAGGATTTGGCTGCAATAGATGAATAAGGATGGATGAATAACGCATAATGAGACAAGCAACAAGTTATTAAAACACGTACCGGACAAATTATGAGTCATGTTTGAACAATTATCATACAACACATGTATACCAGGGGGGGGGGGGGAGGGGTGGTGTATTCTAAATAAATGAGAGGTCAAGGGAAATTAACTAGGAAAACAAAACACAATCTTAGATTGAATACCAAACGTTTCATTTTATCTTTCCTGTATTATTTTGTATTCTATTCATGTTGCTCGTCAGTATATTATGACTAATATATTGATACTTAGTCAGGCGAATATGAATAATGTCATATGTTCTACGTTTTTGATCATAACATTCGCATTGTAGCGCGTCTTTATTAAACCCATTAAAGATAAAGGTGAGTTCTGGTCATCCGATTGCATTGTGAAAGAAAAGGTGTGAAATGGATCAGAAAAAGTTGATCATGTAGCATGTAAGTATTGGTGTGTACTGCAAAGTTCTGGAATCGTCAAAATCATAATAAATGTGGCCAAGTCTTGGTAAAGTAACAAGCACTATACACAGAAAAATGTATATGGGACTACACACATGGTGTCTGGGCTACTAACCTTGATTTCCTAATCTGTCTATGCTGATTACTAAGCCAGTATACATTTTCTACCAAAATTGTTTGGCAAATGACATTTATTTGCAATATTCAACACACAGTGTAAGTTTCGTTTGATTATGTGAGAATTCGTTTTCTTTATTTTACCAGAACTCACCTTTATCTGTAATGTCTTTTTAAAAATACAACCAACAGAGAATACAGCCATAACCTATTAAACGTTATATGTACAATATGTTATGTTAAAAAGATCACAATTATTTCTTATTACAAATGAAAGATATAACTTACGAACTATTGCCGCATCATCCTTTTGCAAAGAGGACTTCTCCGCCATGAGACAACGATGTAGTATAACAGCGTACAGTTTGATTGTATGCAACTGACAAGAGAGGTGCAGTGCAGTGCTAGTGCGTATTGTGAAATATGTGTATTTCCCATCTACGTAATACACATGACTCACTCATTGAAATGAGATGTATGGTTCAGCCATTGCGTTGCCATGGTTGCATTAATGCGTTCCTACGTATATAACCACCATCCATGGACATGAATTGCTGTTAGGCGAACGACTCTCATTACATCATCTTTATAAATGATATAGCATTTTAATTTACAAAAGTGGCTTAGGTATCATGTCAGTATTTGCTCCTCGGTCAAAGCACGCAGTGGAATGTCATACGAACGGGTTTCCCACCTTTACATTCAAGGGATATGCACACATGCAGACAACCTATCAACGGGATAATACATCGTGTATATGTGTACAGTAATATAAATAGTGTTCGCTGCCCATACATCACCATGGATTACAGTTGGGGTTCCATAAGCTTAAAGTCATATAATTCAGTTTATTAGTGTAGTTTTGCTAATGTTGATTCGATATTTTCTGGAGTTGAGTGGTGAAAAAACAGCTAATTAGTTTGCATGGTTGAATAATAAGGTAGGCGGTGGGGGGCATATGGAAACGTTTGCTTGGTTTTGTCTCATAAAAGAAGTTGACCACAACACACCGTGTTGAGTGCAGGGGTCACGGGTACAGAACTGTAAAATACGTAGAACGCCCAGGGGCGTACGCAGGGGGGGGGGGGGGGGTTGGGTATTTGGTATTTTTATGTGTGTAAACCCCCCTCCCCCCCCCCCCAAACAAAACTAAAACCCCTCCTTTGTTTTTGTTTTTTTTTTTTTATTATAAAAATAAAAATAAAAAAAAAATTGTACCTTACCCCCCCCCCCCACAAAGAAAAATGTCAAATTTCAATTTCGAGACCAAAAAAAAAAAAGTGTCCGCTTACCCCCCCCCCCCCCCCCCCCCCCCCCCCCCCCCCCCCCTCCCCCCCACTGAGCGACTTTTCGGCCGGCGCGATTTTCAAATTTTTCGGGAGCAAAATATTTTGGGCCCGATTTTAAACCCCCCCCCCCCCCCTTGAAAAAATCCTGCGTACGCCCCTGGCTCATCCCCATTCACATTGCAGAGATCAACGTGTGGCCGTTGAATGTGCACACGCCGCCATTTTGCTTAGTCCTCGATCTTTTCAGCTCACAAATTTAAAGAATTCAAGCCTGGCCTGTCGTTGAGAACAAAGCGGCGAACACAACAGATGACTAACGAAGATGGCGGATATCACCTAATCACGTACGAGCGCTGGCCACATATTTCGAACCACTAGGGACTTTTCGATTTGCACGTCGTAGCAGTCCACTCGACGTGCAAATCGAAAGTCCCTATTATGAGCCTTCTACGTATATTTACAGTTCTATGGTCACGGGCCACTGGTTTCATCGGGCAGGTAGTTCCATTATGTGAATGAGTAAATTCCCCCAAAATATAAAGCCAACCAAAACAAGTTTAATGCCAGAATTTGTGTACAGGAGACTCGTAGCACCAAGGATATAGAGGATGATTGAAGGTTATCATAGGAGGATAATATACGCTTTAGTCATGGGACATATTACAGTAGGGTGCTACGATTTTCATTGATTTAAAATAAGACATTCATTTTCTAAACATACGCATTGATAATGAGAGAAGTATATTATAAGGAATGTAATATACAAGGGTTGCTCAGCTCACGGTAGCTGAAGCATAATTCCCTGTTAGGGGAAAACGTCTACAGATATTTTGTTCTGACTTTGATAGAGCCCTTAAATTAGAAAAAACGTCAAAGATTATCCATTTATTATGGAGGAGCTTTCAATATGAATCGAAATATTGATTTACATTAAAAAAACAAAATAAATTACAGGTTCAGTCTTCTCTTCTCATGCACTTTTGAAAATGTATAGACATTTTATACTTGAATGTTAGTGTGATGTAGTGCAGAAACTATCCTATTTGTTCCAGCACACAAAATTATTAGTGTCACTAATAAATAAAGTATGACTCGGTATATTTTTTTTTCACTTTAGAGGACCTTTAAAGATATATTACTACTCATTGCATGTTTTATGTATTATCCGAACGGAGAAGGCACATTCGATAAAAAACAGAAAATTGTGATATTTTTGTACACGGCGAACGGTGCAGTTATCCATGAATGCTTCAAAATTAATTCACTAAATTGCCCATTTTTATTTCGCATAGCTATAGGGATTTCATAATGTGAATATGCATATATCTCATATTATTGTGCCGATTTGTCTCAACTTTCACCATTCTGTTTCTCTCAATTTATACGTGTTAACAAAATGACCTTTGGAAGGATTGAATTGCCGTTATTAAGGGCAAACATAATTGCTTTGTGGGGTGACCATTACCAAATTCTCGCAAGTGCACAGAACGTGTACAAACTTGGAACCCTTTTTCTAGGCTCGTATTAGCGATATCATTTTGATTTAGTAGCTCGATCAGTGCCCATTTGGACCGATGTTGAAACAGGAATCTTAAAACACCACGCTCTCCATCAACCGTGCAGTCTTTTATAGCTTACCAAACCGAAATCTATTTTGATGATTGCATCCAAGAAAAAAAGAAAGAGGTAACTTTAATTCTCAATAATGCTTGACCGCATTGGAAGGGCAACCGACGAGACTTTTATTTTCTAGCAAAATAGACTAATCTATATGCATAGTTAAAGATGGCGCGCTTCCAATCACTCTCTAGCGCTGGGATAAAGTACATGTAGCTCACTAGCAGACGCTTTCCCTATGCTTGTAACGAAATCGCAGGGCTCCCTTCTGCTTCAATTTCAAACTGAAAATAACATTATGTATTCTTGGCACTTTGGCATCGGTACGTACCTTCTAAGCTCGAATCCCCTGGCCTTGTCGGCCTTGTCGGCCTTGTCGGGTAAGTGTAGTTGCTTTAGGTTTACCCTCCACTTTGCAGACGGAATGAGTAGGGAAGCCTATGAATTTACTTGTGTACTATCAAGAAGTAAATATAATCACTGTCGTGTAGAAAAGGGGCTTATATCAGAATCCACATTTTGCCCATATAAAGAGCAGATAAAGTGATTATCAATTTCAAATAGACTAAAAGGAAGCCCTCCACTATTACGTTAAATTAAGGCCTCGGGAGGTCGTCTGCCGGTGAGCTACAGAACTTTGCCCTAGCATTCGAGAGTGAAGCGCACAATCTCCAACGCACTGTTACTATTTGCATACATTAATAAACCTATCTTTTCGACAACATAGTAGAGCGTCACCTCTTGGCGAGACATTTTTAACCATTCTCCTGATTATATCTTTTAAATCTATTCCAACTTCAATTAATGCTATTTTTTCTTTCTTTTTGTGACAAATACTTTTCCTAATTTTACAATTCATACTACAAGAGTGACCAATAAATAGGGCCTACTGATAAGTGGTCTTATTTCATTCTTCAATTTAATTGATTGAGCTGATGAAATAAAAAGCCGGGCTGGCATAATGTTTTTGAAAATGTAACATAACAAATTAAACATGTCTATAAAACTACTTTTCAGATACCAGAATGAGAATGAACAAATTATACATTTCCTTGAAGGTAAAGACCAGAATTGGAAACGCCCCAATTTCAAAAATGAAATGGAAGCTCTCATTACCAATCATGTGAAAGAATATGTTTTGACTAATACATGATGATAACAAAATTGCCGGGAAACCGCCTACTAATTCATATATTTGGTAAATTTGTTTCTCTCATGGACTGTGAGAGATATAAGGTAGTCCCATATACATCTTTCTGTGTATAGTGCTTGTAAATTTACGAAGAATGGGCCAAATTTCTTATCATTTTGATGATTCCAGAACCTTGCAGATGCTAGATGCTAGATGATCAACCTTTTCTGATCGATTCCAAAACGTTTCTTTCACAATGCAATCGCATGACCATAACTGGTCTTTACCTTTAAAACTACTCTTCAGATAAAAGAATGAAAATGAA